AAATGAATGAAATGCTAATGAAAAGGGTGCAGCTAAATAGGCTCCTACCTTGTCGTTATACAGAACGAGTAGGAAGGACCCAAAGCTCCCCGACTTGATTAAAACGGATCAAAGTTTGTTTTTTGTATTTTTAGAGGGCAGCTTCTAGCGTCGCCGACCAGCGAGTGGACGGGGGAGGGCAGCGCTCTGATGGGGAGTCTCTCCTGATGTTATACTCACTCTGACTAGTGGACCACTTCAGTACTGAGTTATGTCTTAGGAGAGAGAATGGGGATGATGTCCCTCCATATACAAGTCCGAATGATAATCAGGAATGCATTGTGGAAGTCATAAGATGGCCAGCGAGGGGTGCAAATGTCCTTCACTGTCACCTCCGGTTGGGCATAACTGCGCGTGAGAGGATGAGAAGTGCCTGCTGGCTGGTGCGCTTGGTGTTTGTCAGCGCTGTGGAGGTGCTGCCCCGAGTGGCTTGAGAATGGTACGTCCGGGCAGGTAGGCCGTCGCTGATGTTCGCGTTGTGTGTGGCGGTTGTGCCACAGGAGGCTGGCCTATGAGCGTCTTCTGTAATGCACCAATAGAACGAGTTTCTGCGCTAAAGGCAGCGTGCGGCAATATAGCATGCAGGCGGTGGACGGCACGGTGACAGAGGAAATGATGTGTGCTTCTCTCTGCTGAGTGTGAGGAGGAGGGACAAGAAGGCCATCCAAGGTTTATGTCACTTCTCTGTTCTAAAGAGCTGATGGTTAACTAGACCTTGGTTTATAAAACCGTGATATGGGCGCAAAACAGGCTGAGTGTGCGCATCTCTTGGATCCGGAGACATGACGGAGCCACCGAGAGAGCAGACAAATCACTCACCCTTTTAGCTGATGTCAGAGCCAAGAGCAGAGCTACTTTGGCTGAAAAACTTCAGGGGAACCTGATCTAAAGGTTCGAATGGAGCTTTACTCAGTGCGCGTAACACTAAAGCCAAAACCCATTGAGGCGCCAAAGCGCGTGACACAGGTCTGAGTCTCTGTGCTCCCCGTAGANCTGATCGCTACTTTGTTGTCTGTTCGAATCAACACATGTTGATTGTACAGCAACGGGGCGAAATGCTGGCTTACTTTCCTTACGGAGAGTAATTCCCGCACCTTTATATGGAGAGACATGTGACCCGGCCACTGTCCCCCCACTGCCTGCGACATGCACGTTCCTCAGCCTGCGAGAGATGCGTCTGTGAACACTGCGGTGTGTGACGTCACTCTGCTCAGGGACACCCCAACTGACGTGGAGATTTTTCCAGTAGGTTAAATCCAAACCCACGGAAGGAGGAATGTACACCATGCGTCTCCTCTGACGCACGGGGTCGATACGCAGGCGAATAAACCACCTCTGGAAGTCTCCTCTGTGAAGGAGACCCAAGGGGATCACCACGTGACCAGCTGATATCATGCCTAACAGCTGCATCACAGAGAGGGCTGTCACCGCCCCGCGGGGTGTGACGCGCCGGAGGAGAGCTGTCCGAGCTGCCTAAAAACCAATAGATTTTAAAGACAGCCGGTTTATGCAGCGAGCCATGCTGCCTATAACCCACAGGTTAGGAGCAGCCGGCTTAACCGGTGAGCCTTGCTGCTTATTATTATCCATCTGTCCATCGAACACACGCGTCGCCACTCTGAGTAATACTCTGAGAGCGCGCGACATGCTCTGGATGTGCTGTGGTTGTCATGGTGACGAGCCACGTCAGAGCCCTCGCCGCAGTTGCCTGTGAAGCAACCCAAGAGGGGCCTGGTCCGAAAAGGCTGCGAGGGGGCCTCCACACACTGCATCTCACACCGGCTCTCATCCTGTCTCTGTTTAGGAGAAGGCTCGTAAACTGGACATTGAGGCGCGTTTCACGCTCAAACCTGCTGAGAAATGAGCGGAGTTGTGTGCAGTACTATTCACACAGTGCGTAATAACAGCCCAGGGCTCATTACGACCGTGTGTAGTATAGGCACATCTGGGACAGAGGAAAAACCGTGTTGCCTGCTAACCGACAGGTTAACAGCTGCACCGGAGGAGAGCTGTCACTTTCTCCATTCTCTGCTGTGAGAGTCGTGCTCTCATGCGGGCTGAGTTCAATTCCACTCCCAGTTAAATGTCTGGGAGGGAAGAGGACAGCTCTTCTTCCAGTTGATAATGAAACCCAGGTTTGCTCTCCTGAACCGGGGGAACGGGGAGATCTCTTTAGGCGGCTGCCTTTCCGATGATCTCCGGGAGTTCCTGGAGAATACCGCCTATCGACGGCAGAGCCGTGATGGCGGATAGAGGGACCGGTGTCAGCCCGGCAGCCGAACCTAGGCTCGGCTACCGGGCTGACACCGGGCC